CCTAAAACTTCGTATATTTGCAAGTGATGCAAAAAAAAAAAAAAACGGAGGGAGTATTTATTTTTCAATTTTTAAACACTCTGAAAAGACCAAGTTATCCTCAACATCTTTTGTTTTTATTCGTTCAATTACCTAAAATAGTTTTATATTTCCTCTAAATAAATATTTGTACCCACCTATGCATATATACTTTATTCTTATTTCATATACTCCCTCCGCACGTTATTATTTGCTCCATTTTTCTTTGCACGGAGTTTTAGGATAAATAGTAAAAAGTAAAAAAAATATGATAGAAATAAGGTTGGTTGAAGAATAAAAAAATCTAAAAAAGTAAAAGTGAGTATAAGTTAGGAAGAGAGAGAATATGAAAAATATTAAAATATGATATGATGGGACCACTTGTGGAGAGGAAAATAGTAAAATATTATTAAAAGTTTCAAAAAAAAAATGGAGCAAGTAATAAAATACGGCCATAAAAGAAAAGTGGAGCTAGTAATAAAATACGAAGGGAGTACTTACTAGTTGTGAACAACACACAATTCTGGTACACTTCACTCGTTTCAATGTACATTATGTACTTTCTAGTTTCTACTCTTATTTCTTAATTCTCATAAAATTTGGCAGATGATGAGATCATCGAGGGACGGATGAAGTCTTAATTAGCCCGTAATCTAAGTAGCTATATAAAGAGATGCAAGCCTGCTTCCTTATCATTGTAAGCAAGTAAGCATCACTGAATAATCTCCAATAATGGAAAACCTTAAGAAAAACTCTGTTACAGTCATAGTTAATCACATTTTCTTCATAATATTTGTTATTAACAGCATATCATGTCCTCTAAGAGTAGTAGAATCCTGTGATCCCATAGATGAAGAGGCATTGCTTCATTTCAAACGTGGGGTCAATTATGATTTCCCACCTTTTCGTAAACTAGATACTTGGGTTCCTAACACCGATTGTTGTGTAGAGTGGCAAGGTGTGAGCTGTGATCCAGCGAATGGAAGGGTAGTCCAAGTCTACCTATTTAGCTTTCGCGATGAAGGTGGTGTTGATCGCAACTTCGGCGTAGAAGGTACACTCTCCCCTTCCTCGGCAATCTTACCTATCTTCAATACCTTGGCTTTAAAGACCAAGTAGGGTTAAGTGGTCCTATCCCCTCCCGAACTAGGGAAGTTGTCACATTTAGTTGGTCTTGGGCTAACCAATAACCAACTAAATGGTTCAATCCCTTCTTCACTTGGTAACCTTCATAAGCTACAATACCTCAGCCTAGGCAACAATAGCCTCTCAGGTGCCATACCCAACTCTCTCTTTCGCTCCTGAAGTCACTCTTGACTTTGGAATTGGAGGGAAACCAGTTTACAGGTTCAATACCATCTTCGATTTCTAATCTGATTTCGCTTGAAAAGATTTATCTTACAAGAAATAATCTCTCTGGCTCGATCCCACTCGGTATTACTACACTTAAAAACCTTACCTACATAGATTTATCATACAATCATATAACCGGAAACATATCAGATTCCATAGGTAATAACCTCTCAAAATTACAAGCATTATTTCTCAACTATAACAAACTCATTGGAACCATACCGAGTTCTGTAGTTAAACTCTCTCAGCTGCAGGAATTACATCTTGACCATAACAAAATTACTGGAGTCATACTAAGATCTGTAGGTAAACTCTCCCAATTGCGAAACCTATACCTTGACCATAATAGACTCACCGGACCTATTCCTTCTTCCATATTTAACCTTTTTTCATTGGAGGTTTTAAATTTCGGTAACAATAAATTGACCGGTATGTTACCTTATTCCATAGGCAATCTCACCAAGATTCAAAGAATAGTGTTAGAGAACAATAAGATCACAGGAAAGTTGCCACCAACTATTGGCTATCTAACTGCATTGTATGATATCTTGCTCTCTAATAACCGGTTTTTTGGTCGTATACCTCCAAGTTTTGACAATCTCAGACTCAATTCTTTGCAACTGTCTAACAATCATCTCGTTGGCCCTCTACCTCCTCAGCTTGCTAACACAACATTTTTTAACTCAGACAGCAACCTCGATTTATCGTATAATCCACTGGGGTTAAAGAACATACCAGATTGGTTGTTTCATTATTACGAGTTGAAAAATATTAATTTAGCTGGGGCAGGGATCAAAGGGGAGTTGCCACAATCAATGTCTTCCTCTGGATCCATCGTTCACCTCGATTTATCGAGTAATGAAATCACAGGGAAGTTGCCATCATGGATAGGGAATATATATTTTCTAGTCCCTTAACTTATCCAATAACAGATTTTACTCCACAATTCCAAAGTATCTCACAAGTAGTTATTCCCTCAAGAACCTTGATCTTCACTCAAACAACTTCTCTGGCTCTTTAAGAGACATTTTTAATAGAAAAGTCACATACTCCTACCTCGACGTGTCTAGCAATATGTTCACAGGTCCCCTTGATGAAGACATAGGTAAGAAGCCGACAATTGCTTACATACAATCCATGAAACTGTCTAATAACCCACTTGGAGGAACCATTCCAAAATCGTTAGGGAAGCTGATAGAACTAGAAGTGTTAGAGATGTCTGGTAATAACATTTCAGGAAGTATTCCGAAGAAGGTGTTGAATTTGGAGAAATTGCAAGTTCTTGACGTCTCAAATAATCAATTGAGTGGAAGAATACCTCCCCACAACACAAGCTTTCTGGCTTCTGCATTTTCGGGTAATCCTGGCCTGTGTGGTGCTCCGCTCCCTCCTTGTAAACGTCGTTTGTACTTGTAGTAGTATTCCTGCTTCTGCATTTCGTTTGTACTTGTAGTAGTGTGTATGTTAATTGTTATGTATGTTAGTATGTACACCCTGTTCATCCAATTTCTATGTCAGAATTGAAGCTTATCAGAATTTCCAAATCTTTTTGTTTAATATAGAAGGAGAGGAGATAGATAAATAGCACATGAGCGTGATCATTGTTTGTCTTTACTAGTATGTTATTTTAATTTCAAATTCTGTCATCCATGAAATTTTGTTGGCTTTTACCTCTTACAAACTCGTAAATTAAGCTGGTGTATGTAGATTTGACCTTGTTTGGTTCACCTTATTTTTACTGGTCTGGTCTGGTCTGATCTCATCTGATCTGATCTGATTGTCTGATTTGACCAAACTTTGACCTTAAATGTACGATAATCTATAAGAAAAAAAATATATCAAGTGAGATCTTGTTAAATTCGTTAATAATGTGTAGTTTATTAATATGTAATTTTCACAATTTTTTTCATTACGAAATTAAGAATATTTAGCGATAAAAAACCGCACATAAAACGATGTTCTGATCTGAACTTATTTTTTTCTGATCTGATCTGAACTTATTTTTTCTGAAATAAGTAAAAAATAAGTTGAACTAAACAAGGATATTGAATTAATTAATCCTAGGAAGTCTAGCTATTTTATAAGAAATCTCTTCTAACTTAAGGTATAAAAGTAACCCTATTACCCTGGTACGTTGTTACTATAGGCTCAATGTACACTTGAGTTTGAGGCATATATCCATATAATAGGCTTTGTTACTCTTTAGGCCTTTAGGCCAAAGTAAATAAATTAAAAAAAAAAAAAAAATGGAAAATTTCCAATCTAGGATGCATCTCATGCATGATATATACGAAGCATGTAGGATTGATTCTATGCAGTCTCCTTTACAAATACCTCTTCTAGTCCAAGTGCTTAGCAAATTTGCTAGCCTGAATTGAATGCCATAGAAGGCAAAGTTTAAAATGTTCTAGGCTCTAGCACTTTGCCTACCCCTAGGGCCCCTACAATAACAAGATACGATAAATTATGATTTCAAACTCAAATAATTAGCTTTTAGCTCGATTTAGTTGTAGACTTGTAAAATTAACGCAAGCTTAATTACCCGACCCTAGATACACATACTGAAGTCTGAAATTAAAATTTTCTTGATGTCTTCGTCTAATTTTGACTTGATTCAAACCAATCCAACCAAATCTGAATGACACATATCTGATCACAATAACCATATCGACAATAAAATCGGAATAATAAAACATGACTTGATTCAACACCTGATTTCGAGTTTGAGTTTAAGTTGGTTCGTCAATCAATTTTTTTTCATCCCAAAGTTTCCTAATTTTGATACATTTCAAAGTTAATCAAGTTATTTTAAGACGAGGTATTTGAGTTTGATTCGTCACCATAAGTGCTAAGCTATAGTCAAATGTGAATTAATCACGTAAGATTTGTTAAGGTGTATATTTGTAAAATTAACTCCTCTACCTTCATTTAGCAAAAATGCGGTATATAACTCGGGATCTTTTATAATGACGCAAAAATTCAAACGCCGCTTCCATTTCCACTAACAACACTCCCTCACTCTCTCTCCTCCTCCACCCCCGCCCTCTTATCGGCCTTCTCCGCCGCCGCCGTCTGCTATTCAATTCCGGCGATATTTCCTCCTCCGCCGCTAAACACCATCATTTTGTTTCTTGCCCTGGTATATCTCTCTTTTCTATCCTCTTATCCTCTTCCAATTAAAGCTGAAATACTACGCTGTTTGTCAATTTCTAGGGTTTAAATTCTATGCTATGAATTTCTGAATTGTAATTTAATTGTTGTAAATTTGGGTATTTTTCTGAGGAGAAGAAGGTTGTTTGGTGTTTGTGTAATTAGGTTTCCTCAATTTGGGTAATTCTTCGAAATTGCAGTGTTTTATTGTATGATAATGGTGCTGGGCATCACTTTCAATTTGAAGATAGAACAGTGCATTTGATTTTACAAGCATAGTTGAGTTTAATGCCATTGATATAACCTTGATTTTTTGAAGTTATATCGAATAAATTTGCCTCTGTTAGTTACTTTCGTAGTTTTTTGTTGTTGAAAATTTTTGGTAAATAATGTTTATCATATTTGCGAATTGCGATGGTAACTTAATTTTTTCTTCGTCTACTAATTTAAATTTAGAATTGATTAACTTTAATTACTCCGTATAATATAAAGTTCATGGTCTGTGATCACTGAGAAACTTTAGCCAAAGGTCTTATGAAGATGGCCGTCAAATTTTTACCGAGGACATTGTGATATCTTATTGTGCTGAATTTATGGTATCAGACTGTAGTTTATGCATAGGATATTACTGAAACCGTTGTATGGTTTTGAATAAAATTGGATAAGGTGACGGATTCCCTTGGCCTTTGTATAAGGAAATGTTCTTTTGGCAGTGAATTAAGTGATGACTCCAATGTGGGAATGATTTCCTTAGCAAATAAAAAATGGGGGCAGAGTCTCAGATGCTGGGAATTGTTGATTTAGGGATAACTATATCCCGTACCCCAAATTTAGTTTAGTTGTTTGCGGCTTTAGGGTAAATGTTGGGTTTAAATTTAGGTGAATTGTTTGAGTGATTAGCTGATATTTTATTATGGCTTGAGGAATCTTGGATATTACTGACTGATCACTACTCTCTAGCCTATTACAGGAAATATTTGTTGAATAAATGTATTGATTTAGTGATATAGGATCCTGAATGATATATTCAGTATGTAATTTTGTGGCCGAACATGAGATCAGTCAAGCTCTTAAAATGTGTTCTTGTGCAAATGTTGTGAGAAGGTTGTTGAAATATAATTATACATTTGGGTTGCAGTTGGCATTTTCTGGTAAAATGTTTGTGCTTTTGTTATTATTAAGGGGAACTGTAGAATTGGCATGTGACCACTGAATGACTGATGTTCAAAACTTCACTGATATCTCTTCTAAAGTATTTATTATTTTAAAGTCAAACTAGCCTGTGGGCAATTTTCAGTGTAGGGTTAGTTTGAACTAAAAGTAGCTATCTACAATTCAATATACTCTGCTTTTTAATTATAGTATAGCATGTTATAAATGACTTTTCAGTCAAGGGTGTGATTAGAAATTTTGTCTCAACAAGCGCAAGGCACTTTGGGGATGTTGGGGTAAATTATGTTTATGTCATGGTTGCACAGGTTCTATAATGGTCTACTGGATTACTGGGTAAAACTTGAGATTGAGTTCTTGTGATAGCTATTATTAATGTTGCTTATTGTCATATAGATAAGTGCAGAGTGTGTTTATTGATGTTAGTGGCTATGGGTTTAAGTCATATTGGACCTCTCAAAGCCATAATATGGTGCAGTTGGTGAGTAGTATGCCCAAATGGCTGAAATGGCATTGCTGTGTGATTATAATTTCTGGGAAATTTGCTACATGTAGCATAACACATCCACACTTGATTGGTTTTTTGTTGGATCTTATTATTTTTGTTTCAAGAATTGATATTGATAGGTTAATGATTCATGCTGGATTTGCTGTTACTTGTTCATTCATCTTAAACTTTATTCTTAATCCTGATGTATTAAATTTGTCTATACTGATTTACTTGATTGCCTTGAGGAGTTGAGGGAGTATTGGAGTTATTGTATAGGTAGCTTTTGTACAATCTACCTACAGCCAGTTTTGGAGAAAATTGTTTGGACTGTCAAATTATCAATAGATATAGGCGAATGGTTTATTGTCAAAAGAAGAATATTCGTGATATGTAAAGCCATAATTTATTCAGTTTGATTTTTTTTGCAAGCACTACAAAGATACTTGTCAAGCAATTGTGTCATACTACTGTTCTTTCAAAGACTCTGTTTTTGGTTCAACTTATTTTGTGCCCTACTGCTCTAATATCTTACATCTTGAAGTAATGATGATGCCCTACTGTATGCATGTTTTCTGGTCCAACTTTTTTTGTGCATGATCTATGAAGATTTCTCTTGAATTACCATTATGATCAACTTATGAACTTGGTTGGTTATTTGTTGCTAATGTTTTTCTTTTGTGAAATGCAGCTTAAAGCCTAGTGCAAGAGTTGAGGTATAAAAGAAGAAAAAGCTCAATTATCGCAATACCATGGTGGAAGTTTGGTGGTCCCTTTTGGGTGCTGCTATTCCAGCTGTTGTTGCAGGGCAAGCCTGGAGAATTAAGAGAAGGCGGGATGAGGAGCAGAGGATTAAGAGTGCAAGGGGCCGGGAAAAGAGCTCAGATGACATATTCGTTTGTGAAAGGGTTTGCACCTCAAAACGTATGTTGAAGAAGGTTGGTGCTTTCTCTAAGGATCCAATCCCTGATACTTGTGTCACTGTCTGCGGAGTCTCAGAACTCGATGCATGCACTGATGCTTGTGCACGAACTGTTTGTGTCAATCAGCATCATGTTCCAAACTGGAATGATGTTTGTCTTCGAAGATGTCAAAGTGAATGTCTTAAACTCTCTAGGACGTAGGAACCATTGGATTTTGTTTCTGAAAGGTTAAGGTGGTTGTTTAGTGTGCTGAAATTGATAGAAGCAGGAATTGCTGTTAATATTTGAAAAATATTTAGCTTACTGCTTAATCGAGTTTGTACTTTTTGCTTAATTTTTTGAATGATTTTACAGATAATATATCCTCTGTTAAAATTGCTTATCTGCATAATTGGTTGGCAATTGATATAAGGCAAGATGACTATGGCTAATTAGTAATTTACTGTTCAGCAGTATTGGTACAAATTGATTACTTTTCAATAATTTAATGATAGTCATAACAGGCTTTGATTAAAATTGAATATCATGATAGATACCTCAAAAAAAAAAAAAAAAAAAAATATATATATATATATATGATAGTCATAACAGGTTTTAATTAAAAGTGGATCATATTACGTAATTGGTGTAGTGTACATAACTTGTGTTGCAACTAACAAGAACTGCTACTACACTGGAAATTCAATCTAAATCTAAAATTTGTTCCCACAAAAGAATAACAGCTTCTTCAACGATCTCGAACTTGTTTTGGCTACCTCTTTTTTGTTGCCTTCTCTGCTACCTGTAACTTGCTTGTCTTGACCAGTTGAATTAGCTAGCCGTGATTTGCCAGCACGATCATGTTCACTTAGTTTCTTGGATGCAAGTAATTGGGCGTCCTGGTTCGTGTCACTAGGCGGTTTTGCAGGCTCGTTGGGTTGGCTGACATTATTTTCTGATGATGAAGATTCTGCCTCCGGGTTTACAAGTTTCCTAACCAGATTTTCCATAAGCTCAGTTACAAGGACTGCTTCTCTGACTGACAACTGGAGCTCCTTCATCATCTCTTGCACAACCAAGTGAACTGTATCCTTTTTTATAGAGAACACAAACTCGATCTTTTGAGCATGACCTCTCTTGTCACCAATCCGAAGAACCATTGATATGTAGTCGATCTCCTTGATCAGCTGCCCTTCTAACTTGCACTCGATATTCTCACTGACAACAGCCTTCAATGGGCCAACAAGAGAAACAACCGGTGAGCTAGCCACGTGATCACACGATTTATAAGATGATGTATCAGGTGGACTAGGCACTTGATCCCATGTTACAGAAGATGAACACACAGATTCTGATTTCAGACTCGGAGTTCGAGATGCCGCAGACAATCCAGAATCAGTCACCAGTGCAAGAAACGGATCATTCAGAAGGTTGATTGCTGACGGTCTCTCTGATGCAGGACCCAAACACTTTTCTATGAAAAGCTTTAACTGCAGGTCTGTCACTCTGCTTAGAATAGCAGGCTTGATTCCAGATCTCACCTTCCTATGAACCTGATCTGAGTTACTGCACTCAGTATACGGCAATTCCCGGGTGACCATCTGCAACAAACACATCCCAAAAGAATAGATATCCACCAGGTGATCATACTCCTCTCTGAAAAGCTCTGGTGCCATGAACTCAGGCTTACCACTAGCAGCGCGAGCTGTAGTGTCTTCTTGAAGCATCGCCGCAAGTCCAACATCTCCGATTCTAACCTTGCCAGAGTATCCATTCACAAAGATGTTATCACAGCTAAGATCTCCGTGAATAATAGGAGGATTCTGACAGTGCAGGTAATCTAACCCTTTCAGAATCTGTCTAGCCCAATTCTTGATAGCCTTTTTATCAACAAGATTATGTTTCTTGCGATACTGACTCATAGTTCCAGAGGTAGACAATTCAGTAATTATGTTTACTGTCTTCGTTTCGCTATCGACCCATGAATGGTAACACCTCATGATGTTCTCATGCTTCAAAGACTTCAACAGACTAACTTCTGCACTCACATTCTTCTGACATTCTTCTGACTCGAATATTTTCTCTGACAACTCAACTTTACTCCATGTAATCTCTATTCCTTTCAACTCATCAAACCCCTTGTAATCCTTCTTAAACACCCCTTCTCCCAATACCTCCTCGAACCTTACATACCGCCCTGTCGAATCCGTCTCAACACCCTCATCCTCAAGCTCATCGACATTGTCTACCCCTGAACTCGAACCCATGATTTGATTGAACTAACAAAATTAACTCTTTCTTGAGTACTTTTAAAGAATGTATCAAAAAGTGATCAACTTTTTATCAATGCACAGGAAAGAAAATTGAAGACGGCTTGAAACGAGTGATTTTGGATGAATCTGATTGATTTTTTGTGGGTTTGCAATCCATGAAGGTAAAGGGTGATGTAATTTGTGGTTCAAAGAGAGAAAATTTAGGGTTATTTGATTTAGAAGAGCAGTTCAATTTTTCCAAGAGAAAGTTAGTTTTGGACCTTAGTTTATAAAGGTGTAGGTTAGGTTTTAACCTGACTTACAATCCAAGCTAAGATAATCTTGGTTTCTGTTTCCTAGTCTCCTAGAGTTTCGATTAATGAAACTGAAAAAGATTTGGATATTTTTTTCGGAATATTTAGAAAAGATAATAACTAACATAAAAATAAAATTAAATATTATGTATAACAAATTAGGAAAATAATATGGGATATAAAATTAGGATAGGACTTTTTCAAAATATGAAGGATAAAGTTTCAAGTATAACAGAAAATATTCAAAAAAAGATACCAAATTTTGATTTTTTTTTTTTTTTTTTTTTTTGTAAGATATAATGAAATTAAAAAAATCAAATGTAATGGTTTTCAAAAAAAAAAAAAAGAAAAAAGAAAAAAAAAATCAAATGTAATGTAATCAGGCCTATATATCTCTAGTAAAACGTATATTTGGATAAAAAAAACCTTTAAAGGATCAGATTTATTTAATTTGGAAATTATAAAAAAAAATTAGGTTAGAAGTAATTACATCATTAATGCATAATGATAAAAATTATAATTGTTTATAAATTGCGGAAGAGCCTAATTCACCAATAGAGTAATATTTATATTAGTAGAAATGTGAAATAATGCTTGTTGTTACATACATAATGTTATGGTAAAATAATGCATGGAAAACAAATTTATAAGATTAGCTAGCAAATTAATTAAATTAAATTGATTTAGAGGTCATCATCAGCTTCTCTTCCATGTCTATGATGAGAAAATTTGTGTTCCACCTTATCCTTTGCCTTATGCACTGCATGATCCATTACTGTGGCTGCGGATTCAGCTGTTTTTTCGAATGTCGCCTCTCCTTCTTCGAAACTCTTCTTTGCTGCCATTCTTATTCGTTTACTCGAATCGTGTCTTTCAAATTTATCGGCTCCATCTTTCTCTTGGATCCTGAAACTAATCCAACAACATAATATCAATAATACATTTAATTAGTCCATCCTATTTGTTAAGATAATATAAAAATATTTTATCGATTATATGTTTTGATAGTCTTTGATATTGTTTTAAAGGGTTTCCTAGTGAAATTTCTTATATTCATTCGAGAATTTGATGCACCTTCCCATAATTTTAAATATATATATATATATATATATATATATATATATATATATATATATATATATATATATATATATATATATATATATATATATATATATATATATATATGTGTGTGTGTGTGCGCGCGCGCGCGCAACATATGTTATTAGTAAATTATCTTCATAGAGACGATGAGAGAATCCTTATACAAGTAATTTGAGATAGAATGTGTGTGTTTCATTATGAGACGCATTAAGCACAATATATTTCGTTACAAGACCATCTTGTATCGCCAAAAACTACATACCTAATTTCATTATTAATTGAATTGTTCAATTATCGAATCAAGCTGAATTCTAGAAATCTATGCTAAAAACTAAGGGAAAAAAAAAATATGTAGTTTAATTGAATTTATGAGTATTGAGGAAAACTTAATTTTTATTTGAATTGTTCAATTATCGAATCAAGCTGAATTCTAGAAATCTATGCTAAAAACTAAGGGAAAAAAAAATATGTAGTTTAATTGAATTTATGAGTATTGAGGAAAACTTAATTTTTATTATCCGCAAATAAACACATACAAGTAAAACTTCAACCAATAACATCAAAAAAGTATATTTATATTAAAAAAAATTTAATCTGCATTTGACAATTTACTCCTATTACTATATTCTTATTGAGATAAAATTTTGTAAAAAAAAAAAAAAAAAAAAAAAAAAAAAAAAACAACTTACTCCAAATTGGGAGGTAAATATTTCTTTTGTAACTCCTGCAAAAGGTATTTAACCTTATCCCAAGAACTAAAAAGTGATGTTACAATAGAATTTCCACCATTTCCTTCAGAAACGTCAAATGCTATTGATAAAGTAATAGGAGAAAATAATAGTAAAACAAAAACAGAAGTAATTTGATTTTTATTCATTATTTTTGATAAGACAACTAAAAAAAATGCTTAGTAATTTGATTTATTCTAATGTAGATCTTAGATTGGATCATATTTTTGTGTTAGTTCACTTAGTTGTACGTGGTATCCTTGGCTTAAATGTAGTTGGTCTTTTAAGGTGAATGGATGTAAACAAAAGTTTTTTAGACCATAACTTTTAATATTTTTTTTTTTTTTATGTTATTATTTAGCTTGTATTACGTGTGTCAAGCGTATTATATAACATTAATAAAATCATTTTATACATAAATGAACGAGAGTTCTCCAATCATACATCCACATCGCTAGCACGCAAATGCGTAAACACCTAGCTAGGCATATGACTTTAAAGACACATGAATGACAAAGCCACATACATAAAAGCAACTCAACATACCTTACCTTACCTTATCTTACAAACACCAATTATTTAAGGGAAATCATCTTAATGATGATCTAAACATACGCCTAAAGCACAATTAGATGAATAATACATGTAAGAGAAATCTTACACACACCTAATAAGATGTTTTCCTTATGGAGAATGATAAACCTTAACCATGAATCCATGCTTCATACGAAGAATCAAAGAGATATCGGGAACAACTTGATGTCCTTCAACTGCTTGGAACGTGTAGTTTTTAATTATTGTAGCAACAACGGCCTTCATTTGGAAGAAGGACATATTTTTACCTAGGCAAGTTCTTGGCCCGGCATTAAAGGCTAAGAACTTGTAGGATGGTTCATGTCGAATGTTCCCTCGTTCAGATATCCATCTCTCTGGCTTGAACTCGTAACAATCATCTCCCCATATCGCCTTCATCCTTCCCATCGCGTACATGTTGAATATAATT